AGGGAAAATTATTTGTAAATAACGAATAACAATTTTATTTGAGGAAAAATTATTCGTTATTTACGAATAACGATTTTATTCGAGGGAAAATCATTCATTATTTACGAATAACGATTTTATTCGAGGGAAAATTATTTGTAAATAACGAATAACAAGTTTATTTGAGGAAAAATTATTCGTTGTTTACGAATAACGATTTTATTCGAGGGAAAATTATTCGTAAATAACGGATAACGATTTTATTTGAGGAAAAAATATTCGTTATTTACGAATAACGATTTTATTTGAGGGAAAATTATTCGTTATTTACGATTAACGATTTTATTCGAGGGAAAATTATTTGTAAATAACGAATAACAATTTTATTCGAGGGAAAATTATTCGTTATTTACGAATGACGATTTTATTCGAAGGAAAATTATTCGTTATTTACAAATAACGATTTTATTCGAAGGAAAATTGTTCGTTATTTACGAATTACGATTTTATTCAAACAAAGATTATTCGAACACGACTTTATTCGTTATACGGAGTTCAATGATAAGTAAATGTATGCCGTATACCGAATTGATTATTTCGAGGTTTCATAAGGAACGGCTTCACGGCTTCTTCTCTGCAGCCACAATTGGACATTATTCGAATAAAATTTTATTCGAAGAATTTATTCGAATAAAATTTTATTTGAAGAATTTATTCGAAATGTTATTCGAATGAAGTTTTATTCGAAGAATTTATTCGAGATGTTATTCAAATAAAATTTTATTCGAAGAATTTATTCAAATAAAATTTTATCCGAAGAATTTATTCGAAATGTTATTCGAATAATGCTCAACTCTGATCGATACGATCCAGAGACATTAATTTATCACTAACTCGTTGGAAGCACCACATTTTTTTCAACAAAAGATGTTTCAATGGAAGTACGTATATAGGGTGTTTTTGATGTGCTAGCAGACCAGAAGGAAGGTGATTTTTTTTACTTGAAAAGTAAAACTTGTCGTTTGATCCTTTCGTGGATGTCAATATCGTTCCATCAAATGAAACTCTTCTCGTTTTCCACTAATATTTTGCACTAACATGTACTAATCACGCTTGATGAGAATATTTCCAAAAATAGAGTGATAATTAAAATCTTCGATTTTTCATTGTTCATTAAGGATTAAGTTGAAACGATAATTCAATAACGTGCCAATATTGATTCATATGTTATTTAGCGTTACTGGAAGGAAAGTATCACCTAGACACTATAATTTCAGAAAATCGATTATCATGATTATCATTTTCCGATTTATTACGAAAGAAGCAATTTTACATGTTCTACGATGTAACAATGAATTGAATAATTTAAAAAGCTGACGTTCGAGCGAGAGAGATAATAAATCAATAAAACTCTCAAGTTTCAAACAACAGAGGAAAGAAGAGAAGAATTGAAATGAACGAAAATTAAGAACTATCATGTCGGTTCCTCTGTGTCTGACCTACAGTAGAAATTACGATGGTTATGCTAACAATAAGTGGAAGATGAAGGTGCGTACACTCACGTGACGCAAACTTTAGTACTGACGATAATTGATAATAGATTGGCAAATGCGAACCTTGAATTACATATCTACATCGAGCAGTGTTTTATTACTTTATATAACTTATTATACAATATATTATTCCATTTAACTTAAACAAAACTTGTGTCACCGATTTCTTGCAACGCTGGAAGTTGGAGAGGAATTCAATCGGGCTTATTAATTTAATTATTTCGTAAGAGGTTTCTCTTTATTTTAGACTCGTTCTCTAGTAGATCGATGAGCGGTTGCAGCATCGCCAGACTCGGGACGTAGAAATCCGGATGTTCGCTCTCCAGCTTCGCGTCGTTTATGGTGTCCGCGCCGGTGCCGACGAACAATTTTTTAAATCCGCACAGCGCTGCGAACTGCATGTCCGTGTTCATTCTGAAACGAGAGAAACAAGGTAGAACGAAACTTTCGAATCCTGATACTCTTGATGATACTCTTTCCAAACACCTCTTGAATGAACATCAATCACTATGGCATCGTGTTGCACAGGTTTGTTCCTTTGTTTGTTTGAACTTCAAGGTCGAAGCAATTTTTCCAAGGAATCATAAAAAAGTGGCAAAAGAATTTCTTCCAAATTATTTAACACCGCGTTCCAACAGCGACTTTATGGTTCTGTAAATTCGTGGATGTAATGTTTACAATTTCGAATAATAATGCCAACAGTTAGTTTCGTTATTTGATTATTTAGACTCGTACTGATGCTGCTACGATAACACGCGAACTATGATAAATGAAATGTTGGCGAACGATGAAGTCGCTGTTAGAACTCGCGCGTCTGCCGCGTTAAATAATTACGAAATTTGTTTTGCCATTTTTGCGACCTATGGTTCCTTGGTAAACGAAAAATTCGAATCGAAAAATTTTACTTTACATTTCTTTCGCGAGTATTGTTATTCCGACGATTTTTTGCTGTTAATTGCGAACGAATCAACTTTTAATGCTGTCTTGTGATACTTGTAATTGTATTAATTGTATATTGATACTTGTCGCCGATGAATATGCATCTGCTTGGGTCCTTCACGTCACACGTGTCCAGAATGTAATTCTTCAGATTTTCGCTGGGTTTGGCGAATTCCTTCGGTGATCTGCCCGATTGTCTGTTTATTACATCGATCAAAGGGCCAGAACCTGCGAATGAAACACACTGGACTTTAAACTACGATCGGTTGAAAATCTTGTTGAAAACTCAACGTGAATTATTATCAATTCGTCGTTGACAATGCTTCGAACTGATATATTTCAATCGCGTAAACTCGAATCTTAGATACCTATGACCTTCTTCTTGTGCTTGTACATGATCCAGTCGTCTTTACAGCCGCAGAAGTAGGAAACGTCTTTCCTCTTCAGGCAGTTAATCGACAATGCCATTTTCGCCCAGTCGAAGGAGAAACTGAAATCAACGATCACCGCTCTGATCGCTGGATCATCTTCGATATGCCGCACTGCGGTATGTGGATCTTCATTCATGATCGTGATCCTCTGCAAATCAACTTGAAGCTTTATCTGTTCAGTTCGCGGGTATCTGTGATCTCATTTTCATTAAGCAATTGTTAAATACATGTAACTGAAACGATCCTCGTCCCTTACAGAAAATGAATTGTAGAGGATCGTTATTAACGTTACAACTGGATTGTTTTATTTTTATGAGATACTCTTTATATTTTACGAATACGTAAATATTTCCTCTTGAATAAGTAAAAAATCTTTCTAAACAGAATATTTAAAATATAGGGTGTAACGAATAGTTATTGAATCATTGCAAACGTTGCTCACCTCTTCCGGTATTACTTTAAATCCGTCATTGATTAGAACTTGTCGAAACGCTGACGAAGCAATCACCAAAGCAAGATCCGAGAACTTGATCTTCTTCAGGTACCAGCTGATCACCTTCGCCGTGTTTATTATTTGCTCCTAATGTATTGAATAATGAAAAGAGATTGTATTTATACGACAGTCAATATCAATTTTCCCTTTCGCGTGTCAGTACGAGGGAAAGCAATAAGCGGAGAGTGATCAGAACAATGATTTTAAAAGCTTCACAAGAGCTCAACGTTTTACGATTTTTTTTCTCACAAAGTTACAGCTCATATTTTTAGTCTTCAATCTATCCGACATCGATCTGATATTTAATATCTCTGTCACAGACATTTATTATATACTTCGTCTGTTTTTATCATTTGTTCAAATATTTTTTTGAACCTGCTGTAGATATAATAACCTTCTGTCGGCAATGAAGTTGGCTATTACTTCTGCAAATCTATTTCATCTGCACCTTTGCAACCGTAAATGTGTCACAGACAAGATTTATGATTTAAGTGTGTATTTCGCCACAGGCAACGTGTATAAATAGGCATTACAATGTGCTTTTTCGGTTATCAGCCTTATTACCAATTTCGTGTCACACTCTGCCGTACCGATTCAGGCAGGTTTTGCACGGCGCTGCTAGTGATAAGAATTAAAATCAAGAAATGTTGCCAGCTTCAAGAATTATTTATTGAATTGAACGTGGTGGTAGTATTATAAATAAAATTTAAATAAAATTAAAATAAAATCACTTTAAATAATATTGAAAATAACTTGATTTATATTTTCAGGGAAATGTTTAAAAATAAATGTTCTTAAATTGTCGTAATTGTGAAGAAAAAAACCAAATGACAAAGTCATGCAAATAATATCGTCGTTTTTCATAATTTGTTGAATATTCGAGGTTAACATAAATTTGAATATAGTACCATTTAACGTGTAATACAGCATTTAACATAAATTTAAATATTTAATATAAGTAACCGAGAAAACATAATAATTTTAATATTAATAATTTTCATATTAATAACAATTTAAAATAATTGAAGATTTATTTATCCAAAAGCTGTTCTTAAAAATATTTTTGTAAAAATACAAATCAATTGTATCTAAAATTGTGTATCAATAATTTTGAAATTTTAATTTATTACGTACAAAAGGAAACGTCGTACATATATCTGTGAAACGTAGATAGAATTCTTTGTGATATGTAGAATGGTGCACATAGTAAAATGGTGTATAGATTCCGAATAGTATACTAAGTTTTCGACACTGAAAATTGTATCAACAAAAATTAATAGATTAAATAAAAATTAACAAAATTAACAAAAAATCATGATCCATTCTCTACTACACTGTACATGAACTTCGATCGACATTTCGCATAATTCTGCAATTCAGAGCTGCTTTTTAGAGCTATAAAAGAGCGTTTACTATTTTTACTACATAAAGTCTCATTCGATGCAAAGTTCATCCATATATGTCTGTGTTGCATCTCTTTCAACACAGACAATTGATCACCGTAATTAATCAAAATTGCCACGATAAAAACAAAACTCACCGGTTTGATAGTCACTCCATTCGTCGTTACTCGTTTGCAGTAACGTTCCGCGCTTATGGTACTGTTGTTGGTTACTAGATACAGCCTCTTGCCTAAATTCTGCAACTTACCAAACACGTCCAATGTTCCAGGGATAATCCCAGTATTCGGATACCAAATGACACCTGGTGACAAATTTAACCGTGAAATATATGGTCACCGTACTTTAGAACCAGTGGCTCCCAAATTGCTTCACGTGTTTCAACAAAAATAAAATAACACTTGGATAATAAATTTATTCTCTGATGACGAGGCCCTTGAAGTTTCAAGTCCTGGACTAGTCAACCTGTGAGGATCTGAATGCTTCTCCAGAGCCTCAGAATCGATTCTTCCTTCTACGAACGAATTCATGCGTTTTCGTGTCAAACACTCAAGAATAGAAAAAGTACACAAAATATCGAAAGATAATAAAAGAAAATCAAGCCGGTTTCCAAGTTCCAAATTCTCACGGCTCTCAACATGATTCGAATCTGTTCTACCAAATTCAATTAATACCCAATTAACACAATTACGCGAATCGACACTACAGATATATCTAATCAATACTCTTCGTATAAATTGTAATCACACGCCGCGTCCTATTTACGAACTGAGTGAGAAACGATCGTTACTTTTTACAATTAAACTCAGCTTCTTCGCCGATCAGCGTTGGCTTCAAATTAGCGTGTAACTTCACTAAGAGCTCGTGCTTCGATAGTTATTTGAATTTGATTCACGCTCAGCTCGTCATCGATCACTTGTCATCACATGTATGTATATATATATATATTTGTAAAAAGAAATTTGGGAACCACTATCACTACGAATTTCGTCGAAGACGAGTAAAAAAAAAAAAAAAAGAAAAAAGAAGAAAAAACCGAGTATCGTTCGAAAATTCATCAGACGAATATTAAAGATTTCCAATAGAAACTCACCATCGCAATCTGACAATATGATGTCGAACGAGTCCAAAAACTTGCGCGTTTGCTGGATGCTCGCATTTAACAGGTTCATCGTAGGTGATCAAGATTCCCGAACTGTATCGATCGCTCGATGTAATACAACTGAATACAAGTTCTTGTTCAACACCAGCCACCGAGCTATAAAATCTAGATAGCAATCGTCAAGAAATCGCGGCTTTATGCCACTTTAGTTTTCTCCTTCTTTCTCTCTTTGTCGTTTCACATTCTGACGTGTACGCCGCACTGCGCGGACAAGTTTTGCGAAAAATGCGAAAGCGTCATCGCGGACACGCAGTTCAGAGAATCATTTCGTTGGCGAGACATATCTCACCTTTGCTGATGGATGCCGGACAGCGCGTAGGATCTCTTCCTTGAATTAATTGGGACGATGATTTCAATAATTCGATACCTCATCATTTCATTTTCTTTAATCATTCGTTTAATATTTAATGCCGTTTCTCATAATTGCACGTTACAAATGTTTTTCCTACCAATCAATTATGTTGTACAAACGACGATCCTCTTTTTTTTTTTTTTTAATTGTTTTTTATAATTCCTTGGAGAGTAGGAATTTTTCACCTCGCGTGATAATGGTCCTCTAGAAATCTAGAAGGGGGATCCGCCTTGATGAATTTCTTCAACAACAATTTTACTCATTTTCTCCGTGTTGTTTTGATTCAACGTAATTGTATCGACTTTTCACTTCGGTACCAATCAAGTGACTTCTTTTTCTTTACTCTTTTATCATCTCTTCTTTGCCTCTTCACTTGAGTATAATTAAGCAGCGCTCGATTAAAATTGAGTGTAATTAAGCGTTAATTTCAAAGGAATTGTTTCATTCAAGAGACAATTCGAGAGACAAGATAACAAAAATTACGAAAACGCAATAATTCCTTGAAAATGAGAATGTTTCGTATCTTCGGTGTTTTAAGCGATGTGAATGTTAATGTTCACTGATACATATAATCCACCTGACTGTCACATAACTATACTCTGCACGTTAGAACGTACCGTGTAGAATTCGAGTTTTCTTTTGACAACCGAACAATAAACAAGAATGTGAAACGATAACCCGCGTAGATACCGGCTGAACCATAGAATAAACTTGCTCATAGATTTGCAAATTTTCCGGTTCAGTAGGACAAAATTACTATAAGCGTTTCGTTCATCAGACAAACATTACTGTTCAACTTTTCGATAACCATTGCTTCGAGCAGTTGATGAATTTCAATTGAATTTGAGAAATTGTAAGTTTACTTGAGAGAAAAAGGGGAAAAAAGGCTCTCGGCCTTGTACGTTGCCCTCAGCTCATTAAATTACGAATAAATAATTCACAGCATGATTATCTCGCAATTACTACAATTATCACAATTTAATTCGATAAACGCGTGCGCCTGTCGTTTGAAAATGATAAACAATGCTAATTGAATTTTATCTCAATTCCCCCGTGATTCACCGGCCGACGAAGAAAGCGCGCGAGATTCAAACGCGCCGCCATTCACTCGAGAAGGAGCTGGAATAACAATGGAACACGTTTGGGTTAATAGAATTTCAATTTATTAAGTTCTTCTCCCGTCGGTGTCTTGATTCTCATTTACAAAGGTATTATACGACTGGTAGTGACAGTTTTTTCCAAGCTAACAGATCGACAACGGGTAGCGATCGATCGAGCAATCCGCGATCGTAATGATAATAAGGAGATAATCATAAGAGTTACAATATAATCGTTCGTTCGTTATGCTAAATCGAGATGATCGCCGGTTGTTGAATAGTTTTCTTTTTTTTTTTTT